GTGTTTCTTTAAATGGAATATTGTATTTCTTTTTATACGGGTGCCGGCAAGTGTTATGAAGTCGTTGCAGCGGACGACGATCGATGTCTTTATTACTTTACGTTTACACGATACGCTCGAAAATTTGCTCCTTCGCGAGCACTGTAATCTGCTACGCAGCGAATGATTAATCGCGCGAGCAATAAGTCCTTTTGTCGCGCATGCAACGATCGTTTGCCTCCTCGTGCTTTCTCGAGCCGCGAGTGCAGTTTGATAGACGATGCTTTTTATGCATCCCCGCGGAAAGTAGTCTAATGATCTCGAGTCCGCCGACCTTGTCGGCCATTGCATCGGTCCACCGATAATACGTGGTCTACTTATGTTAATTAAAAGTGAAGTCGATTGAAGAAGATCCATAGTCGAAGAGCTGATAATTCCGAGTCATAAGAGGGTTAGATAGGTCAGTTAAGGTACGCTACACTCAGGAGAGGTCGCCTGAAACGATCACCATACTGGTCTCTGCTGGCCTCCAATGGCCTCTGTTGACTGTTGCTGACCAGTCCAGATACTTTTGACAATGTACAATGACTACTGCAACGAGCTCTGCTGACCTCTGCTCATCTCTACTTGCGTGAACTGGTCTGTACTGGTCTCCGCATGCCTCTGCATCCCTCTGCTGGCCTCTGTTGGCCCCTGCTGACCACTGCTGACCACCACCGATGCTTCCGACAACGTGTGACGATTACTACATGTTACTGCTTGCCCCTGCTGGTCTCTGCTTGCCACTCCTTGCCACTGCTGGCCTCCGCTGACCACTGCTGACCACCACCGATGCTTCCGACAACGTGTGACGATTACTACATGTTACTGCTTGCCCCTGCTGGTCTCGGCTTGCCACTCCTTGCCACTGCTGGCCTCCGCTGACCACTGCTGACCACCACCGATGCTTCCGACAACGTGTGACGATTACTACATGTTACTGCTTGCCCCTCCTGGTCTCTGCTTGCCTCTGCTGGCCCCTGCTGACCCCTGTTGACCCCTGCTGACCCCTGCTGACCACTGCTGACCCCTGCTGACCCCTGCTGACCCCTGCTGACCCTTGTTAACAACTTCTGCTATGATATGTATGTATTAAAACATTGTATAATGTAAATCTATGACAATAAATGTTATAATTTCAAAGAATTCTATGTGTTTTCGTTATTTTTACCGTTCTTTACCTCTCCAAAGCATTCCCATAGTTATAAGATACGTGCCACCTCTTCCGCTATCATGTCCTCCTGATAACGAAGTCTAAAATGAACCTAAAACCTATCGTTTAAAAATTAACTTTAAAATTTTTCGTCAAAAAGTCCTGAAACAACTGGAATGTCCTGAAACAGCTGGAAAGTCCTGAAACAGCTGGAAAGTCCTGTAACAACGAAAAAGTCCTGAAACAACGAAAAAGTCCTGGAACAACGAAAAAGTCCTGAAACAACGAAAAAGCCCTGAAACAACGAAAAAGCCCTGAAACAACGAAAAAGTCCTGAAACAACGAAAAAGCCCCGAAACAGCTGGAAAGTCCTGAAACAGCTGGAAAGTCCTGAAACAACGAAAAAGCCCTGAAACAACGAAAAAGCCCTGAAACAGCTGGAAAGTCCTGGAATTACTTGGAAACCCTGAATTTTTGGCAAAGGTCTGAGTTTCAGGACTTTCAAGCTGTTTCAGGACTTTCAAGCTGTTTCAGGATTTTCCAGTTGTTTCAGGAATTTCCAATTGTTTCAGGACTTCCGAGTTGTTTCAGGACTTTTTCTTAAAGTTAATTTTTGATTTTGGCAGCAAGTACGAGAGCTGGACACTTTGGGAATCGAATTTTAACCGGGAAAACGGTCTCTTAAAACTAAGGCAATGATTAGGAGAGGAAAAGGAAGGTAAAAATGATGAGAACACATAGAATTCTGTTAAATTATATCATTTATTGCCATAGATTTACATTATACAGGGCTTGAATAGTTATACATCATGTCAGAAGTTGATAACAAAGGTCAGCAGTGGTCAGCAGTGGTCAGCAGTGGTCAGCAGAGGGATGCAGTTGCATGCAGAGACCAGCAGTAACAAGTAGTAGTAGTTATACGTTGTCAGAAATACCAGGAAAGGTCAGCAGCGGTCAGCAGAGTCCAGCGAAGGTTGGCAGAAGTCAGTAGTAATCGTTATACGTTGTCAGAAATATAAGCGGTGGTCAGCAGAGGCCAGCAGAGGTTGGGAGAGGCTAGAAGTAGCCAGTCGTAATCGTTATACGTTGTCGGAAGTATCAGGTGTGGTCAGCAGTGGTCAGCAGAGGCTTGTAGAGGCAAGCAGAGACCAGCAGGGGCAAGCAGTAACATGTAGTAATCGTCACACGTTGTCGGAAGCATCGGTGGTGGTCAGCAGTGGTCAGCAGAGGCCAGCGGAGGCCAGCGGAGGCCAGCGGAGGCCAGCAGTGGCATGGAATGGCAAGCAGAGACCAGTAGGGACAAGCAGTGGCATGTTGTAATTGTTATACGTCGTCAGAAATATAAGCGGAGGTCAGCAGAGGCCAGCGGAGGCCAGCGGAGGCCAGCGGAGGCCAGCGGAGGCCAGCAGTGGCAAGGAATGGCAAGCAGAGACCAGCAGGGACAAGCAGTGGCATGTTGTAATTGTTATACGTCGTCAGAAATATAAGTGGAGGTCAGGAGAGGCCAACAGATACTGGGAGAGGCTGGCAGTAACCAGTAGTAATCGTTATACGTTGTCGGAAGCATCGGTGGTGGTCAGCAGTGGTCAGCTGGGGCCAGCAGAGGCCAGCAGAAGCCAGCAGAGGCTGTGAGAGGCTGACAGTAGCCAGCAGTAATGGTTATACGTTGCCAGATGTAGCAGATGTGATATCTGAAATGGTATACATATGGACGCTCATACATAGGAATAATAAAAAAGAATTTATTTTTCTTCAATAATTCAAATATGATCGGGGGGTCTTAATACGTGAATTTCACAAAATTTTTGTTCATTATAGTACCTTGCTTATGTTCGTCTACATACATAGGTCGGAAAGTAAAAAATACCTGGGCAGTCGAGACTTGAAATCGTATGCCATTGACGTGAGGTCGAATTTCAGTTGTCCAAGATCGAGAAGGCAAATGTGAGCCTTCCTCTCCCGACTCCCACGAGGCTTCGGAGAATCGAGAAAGAGGGCATGCGTCAGTTTGTCATTGTCGACTTTCCGTAACTCCACGAGCTCACGTACGCGTGATCTGGCATGTGTGAGTAGGGCACCGTGGGTGCTTTTCTGGCACCTCTTGCTGGAAGTTGCTTGTACATCGCAACGTCGCTCGAACGCGACCAGGCGACAGCCGTGTCGCGCAACAAAGCGTCCAATGTGACCACAGCCTTAACGAGCCCGGCCCTCGTAAAGCCGAACATTCGAGGAAACCGAAAGAAAATAATAGAAGATGGCCACGGGAGTATCGCGAGCGAGGGCCTCGCACCGCGCGTCCTTTTAAAGCGTCGTCGACGTCGTTACGCGCTCGATTCGGACAACGAGGACTCTCGGGGGAGGCTTCCGAAGCAGTCGATTCGTTTCGATGCGGTTTAAATCCCAGATTCTCACGATCCTCGATCCGTGAAACGCAAGGAACCCGTGAATCGTTCGTGTTTTAATTATTAATTAATCGAGCGGACCAAATAATTTTGTCCGTATTCTCATAGGCATCATTTCGATTCCAAGGTATTCACGTTTTACTTACACGCCCCGCAATAGCGAGTCGCGTACAAAATGGTGGCCGTTTGCATCGGTGTAATAAAGAAGCCTCGTAATAAATGATTTGTATGCATTTATTATTTCCTGCGGCATAATTGAAGCACATGCTGCGGTAATTCTTAGCATCGTCCTCCGTTATCGCGTGTTCATTATGGTAAACAACATTTTTTAATTTCCCTCATAGATAGAAATCTAATGGAGCGGGAGCTTCCCCTCCGTCCGGTCCAACGTCGAGGAAATTTGGTACTTATCGTTGCTCTTGCAATTCCGGAATAACGAGTTGATCGCGGATAAACGAGTAATCGTTCCCGATGACGCGTATCGTAATAAACACACGTTCGAATATTAATTCGTGTACCAGTGACTGATCGACGACGTTCAGAAATATTAATATCCCGAATCAGATAAGTGGAAGGCGAACGAATTTATTACCTTACAGCCATATGAAAAACCACATACGGTCCCTTAAAAAGAAACCGACGACCTTAAAATCTCACGGAGCGTTATTTATTTCTACAAAGATACTATTTTGCGAAGAGGTAACTTCGCGTGGTATCCCGCATTGTACGCGCAAAAACACGCGAGTAGAATTCCGCTTCTCCCAGCGAACTGGTTAATCCTCTGTAATCGCAGTCGGATACCCAACAATCTACATTTTTGAAGACCGGACTTGATCCTATAGTCTCAATATGTATCAACCGTAGTTTTAAAGCAATGGTGCCGGCGTACAATCTGTTTACAACAATTATATGAAAATTTCTCGCCGGCCCGGCAGGTATAAGTGGAAGGGTTATTAAAATTTACCTTTCAATTTGCATCCCGTTATTAGCGTTCACCGACAGTTCTATCGTGTAATTTCGCTCGTAAGGCAAATATAATTTGCGTCGCGGAGGGCTAACGAGTAACAAACGAAACGGAAATTTCGGCTAACGCGGAACATTGGTTTCTCGATAAGACGCTCGTTTCGTCTACCTGTCGCGATGGACGAATAATGCAGATTCGAGAGAAGGCGACGCGTCTCGACGCGAAAGACGGCCGGGGGGGGGGATGGAAAAAGCGCGAATCGATTAACGTCGATAATCGATTGGAACGCGCGGTTCGAGAGAGAGACCGGCACTTATCTTCCTACGCGCGCGGATTCGCTCGCTCGACGACTAGAATAATTATTTAATTAATGCCTTGCCCGGCCGAGCGGAGGTGGACTCGGCCGATTTCAATCCCCGGAATTAATACTAAAGCTTTCCTCTGTGTGGTTGTCTGGTTGCAGGCTCCGCGAGGAGAGAGGAGACGCCGAGAGGGCACTCGCTTTGGACCAAAAACCCAGGGACCTGAGCTCGCACAATGGTAAGATAAATACGCGTACGCTCGTTTACCGTAATTACAGTAATCGGTCGATAATACGGCGAATAACGCCGAGTAGTATCATGGACCGGAGTCCTATTATGCGAACGATGCATCCTCTTGTTCTCCTGATACGCCTCGATGTACAAAGACACTCGAGAGTTGGGGAATATTTTACAATTTTCTTTCATTACGATTCACCACAAATTAGGAAGACGCAACAAGGAAATATTTTTTATCGAGACTACCCTTTGATATTGTTCCAAAAATTGAATCGTTCGTTTGAATCGAAACGCACTCGATCGCTGGAATATTTGCCTCGTGGATATCGTATCGATAGAAGCGTCGATGCATTTTCGAACGCCATCAATTTCGTCCAGGTGTGAGACGGGACCGAGAACAGGTGATAATCAGTCCGTGGAATACGTCGCGCGTGGAACAAGTTCCCAAGCCGAAACCGAAGATGATGTTTCTCGCCCGAGCAACGTGTGGCCGAGCGTTGTCATGCAGAAGCGCAACCCGACGGTTTCCTTCGCCAATAAACGTTATCTTTCGCTCCAATTCGTCGTTCAAATTGATCAATCGACGTTGATAACGATCGCGGACGTTTCACCTGGTTCGAGTCGCTCGTAATAGAGCGCAACTTTCGCGACCCATCCGGATTGTCAAGTAAAATGTCTTCTCAAACCATTATTTACAACGCTCGATAAAGTAATCCTTAAACACGCGTTAGCTTTCTACGGTCCTTTAAAGTTTGACGTTTCAAAAATTGGTTCGAGGATCGCGGGGGAGGATCGAGAGTAGCGCGAACGGTGTTCCCGAAAGGCAAGCGACGCGGAAAGATTTCGTAGCGCGTCGAGGACGAGTTAACCGAGCGTGGCCGAGTCCGGGGCCAGTCGTTTTCTCGGTTTCTTTATTTCTCGTTGCTGGCCGGAGCGTTTAGAAGGCCCCGAGAGATTAAGTCCGATATCGGGTTACGGGGCACCGCGGCTCCGCCTTTCTTCTGATTCCCCGTAATATTTTAATCCGTCCGATCGAACCTTTTATCCCGCTGGTGGCGGGTATCCGCGCGGTCCAGCCGTGCGGAGACAAACCGGACGTTTCGAGTTCGAATCCGATCGTGTTCCGATCGACGGCCCCACGGAATCGACGGTCCCCGGCCACCGCGAGTGATTTCAACGCCGACGCGGCCCCGTCGATCGTGCTCGATCGAGCCGATTCCGCTCCGATGGTCCTCGTGGCCACGGAGGATCGACTTCGTTCCGGCTACTTGGAACCCAAACAGTTCCTCATTGGCGATTCAATCCAAATACGACTCGAGATCCCAGAGATCGTTTCCCGATCGAGACCATGAAAAATTACTCTATTTCCAGAGTCAAACGCGGTTAATGGTGCTTCAAATTCTACACCGCGATCTGGATCGTATCCATTCATCACTCTCGTGACTCTACAACCTTATCTGTATCAGTTTCCGATACCATTCGATCATCTCTCCTACATTTTTAATTATAATATCTGTCCGCGTCGGTTCGAGGCTTCGTTTTCTTCGCCGCACGTCTTGCTCTTGCAATTTTTATTCTCCCCGACGCTTTTGCATCCCATACTTGCGTTTTATTGTACCATCAGATCCTTTAATCTTCGGCGCTTTCCTTAATGTTTCCGCTGGTTCTCAGTTATACTTATCTTGTTCAAGGATAGTGGCGCCCGTGCGTGTACGTTAAGCTTTCAAGTTATTTTGTCAGACGAAACGCACGGTATTGCTCTTTTCTTGGTGTTTGTATTCCCATTAGTATTCTCTATTCGTTTTTGCGCTTATTTATAGACGGCTTCGAAAAGGTTTTACCAAAACGAAGAGGTGTGAGCTGTTTCCCTATATGTATATGATACGTTCGAGGTAAAAATTTGATGACAGAAAAATTACAACGCTTCCCAGCCCCCTAATGAACGACACGACGCATCGATATCGTTGCACGTTACTATCCACGAGTCAATATCGGTTCGAATTCTACATTCGTTTCGCGCGAGGTAATTAAATATATTTTTAACCCCGATGGAAGAAATTATCAGGTTTAATAACAGCGTATCGACAAACGTCGTGTTTCTAATTATACATATGTCGCTACCGCGGTGACGCGACGCACGTGAAAGATTAGAAACTGCCGTGAATATACTCATTTGTTAGAATAATATGACACGCGCTTGCAGCTCGCTGACGCAAGAGCAATTCTGTCAATTTGTCGATGGTTGTCTGGTCGGCTATAACCAACTGCCAGTCTCCTTCTACAATCAAACTCGGTCATAACGAACACGGATACAGCGGGATCGCGGCTATAATAAGCAAGAAGGCGTCGTGATTTTAATTAACGCATATTCCCATACTATTGTTCGCCTTTACAGCCCGCTGAGCGGATACGGCGCGCGAATTTCCGAAAATTTTCGGTATATCAAGGCGAAATCTCAGATCCCCGGCGAAAGTTACAATTCAAATAAATATTAATTATAATACTGCTTCCGTATTAATTACTGGAAAAATAAGTTCTTTGACACGACCTACGCAATCACATTATTTTTCGATCTTCTGATCTATTTGAACTTTACACTTAGATCGCGCTACTTTATTAATGTAACTATTCATAGACATCTCTTGGATATAGAATGGAGTTCACTTCCTTGTAAGTGATCCACCAATGATTCAACGGAATAGTTTGGATATTTAACCGATATAACGATCGTTGTGAACTCCGTGGAGCTCGTTAGAACCGACTGGAACCGTATTTGCACGCTCGATGCATCGGTTGGGTGTGTTATCGTTGCACGATAATATTCGTAACAGTTGCGCAACGTTCGTCGGTGCATCGTTGCGTCGGTGGTTGCACGTCCCGCGGGGCAAAGACGTTAAACAAACGTATCGAGTGGCGGGACAGCTCTACCGGTTCGACGGGTGCACGGTTTGGCCTCGGCGATGCGTCACTCGGGGCCGGCGTCGCTGGCCAAACAGTATATCTATCCACGTCAGGATTAAAATGCTAGGATATCAAATAGAAGGAGCAAGGGGAGCGGGATGATATTCGCGGAAAGTGGATGGGCCGGTCGGATCCCGGGCAAACAGAGATGCGCCGGGACAAATAAGATCCATCAACCGCGAGACGCTCGGTCTTCTTTTCCGGGAAAACGAATCGGCATCGAGAGATCTTTGCAGATTGACCATCGAGTCACTTGTCTTCCAAAATACACGCGAGACCACCTAGCAAGTTAAATTTTGCCCAAACTCGTCTCTATATTGTTTCTGAAGATTCTAATTCCTTGGATCTAGTCTAAGAGTCGACATGAAATAGCTCACTGATTTTTGCTTTTCTATTTTAACGAATGTTTAGACGTAGGGATAATCCAGGATGGGGTTGTTGCAGGTTCCTCGAACGGTCACAGTCCCGTGCTGAACCTGTCGAAGACGGCGGGAAGCGGAAGCGTGGGCGAGCACTCCGGAAGCGAGGCCGAGGCGTCGCACCGCTCGCAGGACGACGAGGACGAGGACGATAACCTGTCCGAGGATCTGGACGACGACAACGAGAAGGACGAAGGTGAGACGATTCGCGGGGAAACGCGTCCGATCTAGGCGATCGATACGCGAGCGCGGGACCGGCGAACGATCCGGTCGATCAATTAGAAGCAGCCGGACCGTGACGGTGAATTTGACGTGTGCCGAAAGTCGAAACGATGTTCCCTGTTCCGCGGCGCGCATACGTAAAATAATTATATCGAATCGACCGGACGGACCGCGTTTAAAGATGAGTTCCCCGAGACGACTGGTAGGTCAGACCCTCTCATCGATCATCTCGGACCCGCTGAGGAACGACGTTCTGGGATTCGTCTTCTCTATCGCGCGGCCCGAGGAACTCGCCTCAGCGGTTGTCAAAACTTGTCCGTCACTGCCAGATGGAAACTATCCCGGTGGTGTTTGGAATTTTTGCGCTCGAGCGTTTTTTCATTTACGCCCCGGTGTGCCCCCCTCGAGATTTACAGCGATCTGGATCGCGGTGCGTTCCGGGTTGCCTGATCCAAGGCGCGATTTTCACGAAATTTGGACCACCCACCCCGAGAATTTGGAATGTTAAATTTGCGTACGGGCAATATATGCATGGCTGTGAATTTAATTTTGTCGAAAGGATGACGCTGAAACTGTTTTGTTTCTACGATCGAGTTCTACGTATCCCCGGTGGAAGCACCACTGGCAGAGCGGTCTGGTCGTTAGACTCGCATCTTCGGTATTTAGTTTCATTTTAATAATGAAAGATGGGTCCAGATAAGAATCTCGGGCCGCGGGTCCGCGCTCGGTGCTATCTCGGCTGTCCCGCGCGCTTCGACGCATCGAGGCGTCATAATCGCGGTGATTTCTAATCGATTCGCCGATTGTCTCTGCGTCGCGCGCGTTAATTGGATATTCCAATTAGAGTCACGAAGTCCTCGCCGCAGACTTGGAGCGAAAAACGAAAATAAAAGGGGTCGCTGGGGCTCGTCGATCTTCGACGCGTTTGCTACCACCGTGGTACAAAAAATTCAATAAAGTAGTCGGGATTACTCGTTGTGTATAAAACTGTGGTAAACAGGACAGCCTAATACGTCTAATAATGCATCACGCGTACACCATGGCGATCTATTATTCGTACTTCGTTTGTTTGCACGAGCATAAAATATAAAATCATCGTTGTCGCGTTAATGCGTACTAAATTTTGTACAAAGTGGTAGCTCGATGGCTTACTGCAGATAGTGGACGAAGAATCGCGTATATTTGACGGAGGCCAAGGAACCCGTGCAGAGTCGAGAGTCGAAAAGATGGAGCGCCCGGCAGATTAGAGGATCCGGGGTGTGTACCCTCGAATTAGCGGGGCCCCTAAATTTCGGGAAAGACACGAGTTAGACGTATAAATTCTGGGGGTCGTGTTGTAGCCGCGGGGGGAAGGAATCCGTGTCTCGCAGCGTGTCGTATGCATCGGCTACATCCTACCTATGGTGCCCGGCCGCGGTGATCGAAGTAGAACCCCATCGAACGCCCGTGGGAGTGTACACGCCCGTGGAATGCAGTTCTGATTTAATGAGACGCGCGCCGCTATCTCGCTCTCGTTCCTGGAATCCGATCTGCCGCGATTCGGCCGTTTTCGTCGCGACTTCCTGGAGCTTCGATCGGATCCGTCGAGTACGCGAAATTCCCGGTGGTACGCGTCCAGCCGATTCGCGCCTCGCATTTCGTCGAATGCGTGGCGGTCGAGGTGGGGTCCACGGGGGCCCCCTCGGGGCCACGGAGATAATTGTAATGGGGCCCCGGGACCAAGAGGGACACCGGCTGGCGAAATGCGAGGGGCTAAAGAGCCCGAGGAGAAAAACGGTTAAAAGAAAGGGGCCGAGGGCAGAGGGCAGAGGAGCAGAGGAGTAGTTTACTATCAAAAGGTGCCGGCCGGCCGATGGCGCGCGAGCATTAAATCGGCCAATGGCAATAAGTAACCGAATGCCGTGGCGTTGTAGGTGCGCGCTGATAATTAAAAGACGATACAATAAAGCACGTATCATCGGCCGTAAAGCAGACCGGGACCAAAGCCACCACACGGTGTGGGCCGTACCACGAGCGGTCGGTCACTTAAGCCCCGGCGAGAACCCACGCAGACGTCTTGTCTCGGCACTCTCTCTCTCCGGAGTTCTTCGGCCATAACCATAAGGCATCCTTTATTCCGGCGATCCGGCCGGATCCTTCGAAATCCCCCTTCCGACTCCTTTCCCTCGAACGACCAAAACCATGCTTCCAGGCTAATCGTCGATAGAGCGAGAATAACGAGACTACTCCCGCCCTTTTAGCCGTCGCGCGAGACGTTGAAAGAAATGCCTAGCCGCCAACGACCCGAAACGTTTTTGTTCTTCGTGGATGGGGACGGAGGCGCGTCCTTCGTGGAATCCACCCGGTTTTCCCTACCAAATCCCGCGGCGCGTCGCGCGATCAACGGGGATAAATCGCCTCTTCACCGCGGGTACGACAAATTCGGCGCTCGTACGCACCCCCCTGCGATCGCCGTACACGCGCTAGCGCGGCTAATCGCGGCCACGGCGCCCCTGGCTCCGGTGCCGTTTAATTCGCGAATTTAATTCGTCCGCGGTGACGTTAAATCAGAGACGTGGCGAAGGGTAACAAGTAGTCCGCGCTGGATTACGACTCTCGGACACGCACGAGTTGTAAGTCTCCTCTCCGCCGAACGCGAGAGACCTCCCTCGAACGTTGTTCCACGATCCTTGCCCGACGATTTATCGGCAAAGCGGCCCCGTATACGCGCCGGAGGGACGCGGACAAAAAACTCCACCGGCGAGAGCTCATAGGCGAGCGGGGATCCTCGCGTGCCGCCATTATTTTACAACTAGAGTCGCCGCGGACTCACGGTTCACGAGAATCCGCCATTTTGACCATCGTTTTGCTTCCGTTGCAACCTTACAGACTCAGACTCCGACTCTGCGCAACTTTGTACAATATTTCTATTCCCCCTTTTTCGCGACTACCGATCTGGATTACTGATAAAACGCGCGTAGGAAAATTGCAGGAACGACACGTATCGAAGTACGTCGCTAAATGATAATGGTAGCCTTAAATTGAACGACTTCCTCTAAATTCCCGCTTAAACGCGCCGGGAAGCGCCGTTAGATGTTCCAATGTGCACTTACTTCTGATTTCATGGACTTCTCGAGTTTTCAGTTAATTGCACAATAAAGGAATCCGCGGTTAAGTTCGCCATTATCGCCGTCAGGATACTACCGATGGAGAGGAGTTTGAAAAATTGTCGAACGAATCGAACTCCATGGAGAATTTCTGCTTGTTTTTCAGATCTGTCGGACGTGCCGGAGAACCTGCCTATGGCTGCGCCCGGTTCGGAGAGTCCTCAGGCCCTGAACTACTCGCAGATCGCCTCCGCGGCGGTGGCCGTCTCCCAGGGAGGCCAGGATCCCTCGGTCTCGAGTACGGAGACCCTGCTCAGGAACATCCAGGGCCTGCTCAAGGTCGCGGCCGACAACGCGAGGCAGCAGGAGAGGCAAATCAACTACGAGAGAGGTCAGTGGCGCAGGGCTTTCTTAAGACACTCGAGGTCGCTCTCTCCACAATTTCATTATCTGCCAGCTCTCGCGGAGCCACATTAAGAGGCATTAGTCTCAGACCCGTCGACGAGCCTCGCCACCGTTCTCTCCTCTTTCCATCCTGGCTTCTCGGCTCGCTTTCTCTCTCCTCGTCGTCGTACCCCTCCGACGTCCGCCCGTTTGACGTCTCCGGGCCTCCCGATGTCAACCATTACTTTCGCAGCCTCCCAGTACTTACAAACTGACGTCGCGAACATTTACTCCTCTCCTTTCGCGTCTCCAAGAACGAGGAAACACGCTAACCTACGATGTTACGTTTAACGGTTCTCCCGAAGCTCGATGGCGGGTCAAACTTCACCCAGAATTATCTACGTTTCTATATTTCTGAGATCGATGCTCGATCGACCCCCAAGTATCCCCTGAGTTTAGAATATTTCACTGAATTTTTGTCTCGACCAGAAATGTAATTTTGCGATTCAAGTTCGAGGGGTGAAACTACCCTGCGAAGTTTCGGGTTTCGGAAGCTAGCTTCGAAACTGTGCGATACACAGAGGGAGTCTTTCGCGCAAATTCTGTGTTTGTTTACGAAAGAAATACAAAGTTCTGGCCCCGGAGTATTTTAGAGAATATATTTCCCCTTAATTAGGATCTTTTGGTTTCGAGGATCGAAGGAACGTGGGCGTGCGTGTGCGCCCGTTGTCCGCGCGCTCGTACGCGTTGAAATATCGGCGTTGTAGCCTGTAGATAAGCCGCGCGCGTCTTAAGTAGGCAAACGACCGAACCTAGGTAACGCGATTAACGAGGCCCCGCGAACCGTGGCGGCGTGTACTCGTTCGTACGCCTTCTTTCTCATTAAGCGGGTGATAGATCGGCCGCGCGCGTTATTATTAAACGCGTCCGGCTAGCAGGATATCTCTGATCGCACGAAAGAGGGAAACCGGCGCTGCGGGGGTAGGAGGAGGAGGAGGCCACGAAAAAAGGAAGGAAAAAGAAGAGACGACGCCCGACCAGCGCGCGCGATTACGCGAGGAAACCGAGATTAAGCGTCGTTTATCGTTCATCCACGATAACTCGCGCGTCTCGATGTAAATTGTACCGGTCGTTTATTCGAGATCGATCGGCCGGATCTTGCCTTCCCTCTTCCCTTAATCGAGCTCCTAAGGAGATTCGTAACGGACGTTCCAGCATCGCCGTTTCCATCGCTAATTACAATTAACGAGTTAATTATCCGTTAATCGATCCGGATCGTAGACGAAATCGTCCCCCTCGGGGCTCGTACTCGGTACGATTCGCTCTCTGTACGTAAACTCGCTCGATCGAAACGCGGAACGCAAGAAACAGACTGACGTAACGCGCTGCGAGAAGTTTCGGACCTTTCGAGGGGTCTTGACGTTCACCGAAGCTCAACTTCCCCTTTTCGCGTCCAACTTGATCGAAAATTCGCGAACTTCCCGATATACCGTCATTGATTTTGATCGCGAGGCTATAAATACTCGCCGAAAGAAGTATGGCGAGATCGTAATAATAGCAGGGGATGTAGACGGTACGGTTTAATGTTCGGTGTCGAGATTCCGCGATCGATCTGCGTATATTTTTCCAACACCGACGCGTTAAGAGCCCCGTGGTACGTTGAACGGGTTATCCTTAACCGAGATATTTTGTGAAAATAACCTTTAAAACATTCCTCGAGAGTCTGAGCTCGTTAAGGGTGCGTTTTTTCCAAATCTGGCGGACTGTGGTTCGAATCACCGCGGCCCACTTTTAGCGAGCACTCGATCCGCGAGCGCGAGCTCCTCGACGACGAAGACCGTCTAATATATTCCGTTCGAAACGGAAATGCGGGACTTTAATTACCCATTAACCGGCGCAAAGTGTCGTTTCCACGGTCGTTAACTAATGCGTACGGCCGGCTTTAACGAGGCAGAATCCTCGGTCGGGGCGCGGAACCTGTGGCCGTGGACGGTCGCGTTTTTCAGCGCGTCGGGGGCAGAAACGCGGCATTCTTTCGGGCAAACCTGGGGCGCTACGGCGCTCTCGGTGGCGAGCGTGCACGTCGCCAGGGGGCCGTCCTTTGTTCCGCTGGCGGCTGCGATCGGCCGATTAAGCCGGGACTTTAACGCGAGAGGACGTTCGGGGACCAACGGACGTTCCCCGGGCGCGTCCGTGCCCCGACACGTGAACGGCAACGAGTTCATCTGGTGCGCGTCGCGACGTCGAGATGCAGGCTTAGCGGATTCCTCGTGTCCACGTGTGCGCGTACCGAGAGTCTTACGCCTCCCTCGAAAGAAGAGGAGACGGAACAGGATCGAGGGCATCGACGGACGCGAAACGTCGATCGGAGGATCGGGACGTGCGCGAGAACGAGTGAGACAGGGTGGCGATCGACGGAGGGACAAGGGGGTAAGAGAGGGCCGATTTAATACTCGAACGAGCCAGCAGCTCGTTTTACACCAGATGGTTTTACATACCGGCCGCTATCGTGTTACCACCGCGCTCCTCTTCGTGTGGGTGCGTCCGCGCGTCTCCGCCGCTTCGTCCGCGCGGCCTAATACGCGCGGACGCGCCAACACGACCGTGGACCCTCCATTGAATACGCGAGAGACGCCCTTCTTATTCGTCTCTCTTTCCACGCCGACGATCTCTTCTTCCGGGACCACGCAGGCACCCTTCGTCAAATTGAAAAAAAAAAATCGACAGGTGATAGGTGCCCCAAATTTTTCAGCGAAAAGAAACAATTTCGAATCATTCTAGAAAAATTATTTTCAGTTGCAGGGGTCAATTACGATCATTTTTGGTGAATAGACATATCCCCGAAATCCTGGTCAGTTTCGAGAAAAAAAAATTCCTTTCGAGAATACAATGTCTGACCATGAATGAATGATTCCCCTGCAATGTCATGCGTATGTTTAAAACATACTAAATCTACTCCTGTAGCTCGTCTGTGGTCATAGGCATTGATATTTCGAGTTATACCTTGAGTCACTAAGTATCTTTGAACTATGTCTTCTCCGATTCTCCGGAAGCTTCTCCCTAATGAAAGCTTTTTGATACCTATCTATCTTAAATAAGTCTCTGTTAGATTTTAAAAGTGTCGAGTCCAATAATCAGTTCTCGAAGGTCCCTGGACCGTTTCTATAACACCTCTTTAAAGACAGTGTCGCGGGTGGTTAAAAGAATGATTATAGGCCTGCTAAGCCACGCAAAGCTACTCTGGATGCACACGTTGGAGTAGGTTTTACCGCAAAATGTGAAAGTTGGGGGTGCGTGTGTAAAGGAATGGGGGAGGAATCGTCGTTAAGGCGGTCGCGGACGCATCGAGGGCCTCGTGGCCGATCGGGAAACAAGAAGAAGACGAAGAAGAAGAAGAAGAAGAGGAGACTCGAAGCGAGAGAAGCGGTCTCTCTCCCGGTAAGTTACACGCCTTGCGGAGAACAATATGAGCTCGCCGGATCCTGGCGAGCAGCCACCGAGTAGAGGCTGCTATCTTCGATGCTGGCCGAGATAAGAGCCGGCGTGGCGAGGACGGGGGCGGCACGGGGGAGGGCGGGGGTGGAGACGGCAGGAGCCGTGCAAAAGATTGTGCGCGGCTGTTCGTGTCCACCGGATCCGGCGGAGTCCGTGGCGGGCCGCTTAAGGCCCGAGAGGGCCGAATAGAAAGAGGGGATTGAGTTGTAGCCGCGAGTGGAGGATCTTATGTAGATTCCTTGTAGATCGTGCACCCGATTCGATCGCGATCGGCTACCCGGTACCGGGTTAATTAAAATTGTACGGGCCGGACGTCTTTCTTTCCGTCTCCGTCCCTCGGTTCCTCTCCTTTTCCATCCTCCTTTGTGTCTCTTCTCATCCCACGGTTTCCACCGGCTCGATCTCCGTCTCCGTTGCCGTTTCGCCCGCTAACTCCGTGTCTCCTTCTTTTTTCGATGGCCGTTTGGTCGAGTCGGTTCGTTCCGGAGCGGCAGCAGCACGGTGGCTGCACCGGCCGGCGGTGCATCCCGCCGTTCGTAAGCTCCTTCGATTTTTGGCCGCTGCCTGGGAGGCTGCTTACGTGAAATCCTATTACCGCGAGCCACACCGCGCGACAGCGCAACTACCTCTTCTCTTGCTCGCTCTCGCTTTGTACGTGCCCTTGGAGAGTACCAGGATACGACCAGGACCCGGCTACCGAGCTACGCCTGTTGCGAGACAGCTTGGTGCTCGGTGCATCTTCGAATCCCAAACCCACCCCCGCCTCTATATCGTAAGACTCTTTCTCAAATTCGCTGTGACTCTCGGTCGAACTACCCCTCCGTTCGCCACGGTCCCCGATAAACCTAACTACCAGCAACAGGTAATTCGTTATCCACTTTTCCGAGCGTAGTTCGCGATCGTAATAATTTGTGGCAGAAATTCGTGTCATCGGGCAGTATGTTGCAAGAGTGTCGGGCGAATTTACAACTCGCCACCCGAAACGACGCTCGACGTACGCTCCGGAGGATCCCGTGCAGTTTAATTAAGTAAACCGGTCGTCCAGCGACAGGATGATTTAAACGTTCTGCAACTCTGTCGCCTGTCCTTTGTCTCTCTTGCAACTTCTTCATGACACGACTACCTTAAACTTGTTGATCGTGTTTCATTTTGAAAATTAAACCCTGCTATCTATCGGACGTCGTATCGCAAATTCACTTTTAAAAATTGATTTTGGTCGCTATTTGCAACGCGATGCTCGAGTATCGTCTCGGTGCGGTTCCACCCCGTCGATTACGACGAGGACCACAGAGAGACAAACGCAAACATCATCCTTTGGTTCTGCCTACCTACCGCGAGCTTTCGAGACGTTCGACCGGTCGTTTCTTCTCCGTCCGCGGTCGAACGCGGCCTGATTGATTTATGCTTAACCCTGCCAACGAACGACCCTCCGCCCCCTGTGCTTCGCGCGCGCAAGAGCCAGCCTAACCGAGGCTATCTCTATATCGGCCAGCGAGCGGCCATTATCGCGCA